TGTGCACCATGGGTCTCCCCATTTCACAAATGGCCCAGTTGCAGTTTTATCGACACAGGGCCTCACAGTACAACTTAAGGCAGCATTTCCCAAGCAGTGGTCTATGGGACTCCATTCAGTGGGATGTAAATAGATATTCCATTAGCATAGAGGGGAAAAAAACAAAGCTGGCAACATTTTTTCTTTAATTTTATCTTTTAAAATATAAAAAAAAATGGAGTAGTATTTTACATAGGGGTCACCTTCTAAAGTCAGTACTTAAGGTAAAAATCATGTCTTGTCGGGCGCCTGAGTGGCTCAGTTGGTTGAGCCACTGCCTTTGGCTCAGGTCGTGATCCCAGAATCCAGGGATCGAGTCCCACATTGGCCTCCCAGGTCCATGGGCAGTCTGCTTCTCTCCTCTCATGCTCTCTCTCTGTGTCTCTCTCACTTTCTCAAATAAATAAATAAAATATTTAAAAAAAATCATGTCTTGTCAACATAAGGTTGCTAAAACCTTGAGTTGTCCACAAGGCACAGCAAACAGACCTTCTACCTTCCAACAAGTCCATCAGAGCCCATCTTCCCCCCTCCAGTTCTGGAATAAGTTGCCGTTTTTCCAGTTTTGCTCCAGGTGAAGATGAAAGAGGTGGTTTATTTTAGGGGACATGTAAGGTGGAAAGTGTGTATCTAGATTCATAGGTAGTGTGGCAAGATGGTTACTCTGTCGAAAGCATGTGGGAACAGACTGGCAAGGATTCCCAACTTGGGGACCCCATCTCAAGCCTGGTCCGGGACACCCATTCACTTAGTCATTGCACTGTTGAAATTGTGCTGTCTCTCCAGGCTCCTATGGAACACGCATTTCTGGGTTTGAGGGAGTTAAATGTGTGGAAGATAAGATTCCACCTTGTGAAAGAACAATATCATTACAAGTCGCTCTCATGAGAATCTGTTCTTATATATTGCTTTTAAGAAATCGTGTGCCAAGAATATCAGGAAATCACGTCACCTGTTTCATGGAACTGTGACGCATGATCTGTGTGTTGGGTTGGGGGCCCGGGAATGCAGGAGGAACAATAGAAATGACCGCCAGGGCTGCCATCTTCCAGCCTCCCCCCCTTCCTTAACCCTTGACTCTCCTGCCAAAGGGTATATGCCCAGGTCATGTCTCCATAGGTAACCCGATACCTATGCAGGAAACAGAAGTATCAGGACCCCCAACCCCATACCCTCCGATCACCAAATACCCTACCATATATGGATGTGAGCCCATGCCCTGCCTTGGCCCGATAAAAGACCCCCACCGACTCCCTCCCAGTGTGACTTCTCCAACTCTGCTTTCCAGAGTCACGGAATGTTATGCCCCAATAATGGGTCCGTGATTAAAGGAGTGAGACTGATACAAAGGGAAGGTCAAGCAAAAGCTTTATTTCGCGCCAAGCATCAAGAATCAAACCGGCCAACCAGGGCCGTGCCTCTTACAGAGAGGGCGACCCCCTCTCCCTTACGGACTGGCTTTTAAGGGCAAAGGCCATGCGGTTGGGCCTGGCCACGCAGAGGGGGCCAATGAAATTGTAACACACAGAGAAAACTGCACAGTGTTGCTAGGTGACCAATTGAATTACAATTTCACCTTGGTTAGGATTGGCGCCCAAAGGGCTCCCAAAGGGCGGGGCCCATACGCCTTGGTAGCTAGGGAGACAGTATGCGTCCCCCCACTGATCGGATGTCTCCACCTGGCCTGACCCATCCCTGTATCTGTGCTTTGTTACCTGAGGCTGGTTTCCAGGACTTGTTTTTAAGTAAGTCCCCTGGGGGAAGGGGAGCAGGGACAGTTTAAGGGTTAAACAACAACGTTATTGTTTAACCTCAATGGAAGCCTCTGGCTAAAATATAAAAATATAAAATAGGTCCTTACACGAAACCTCGATGGAGGGTGCCCACCTCCTCCTGGCGCGACTTTCCTGGCTCCCCTTCTCCTGAGCCCTGAAACTTCACCGGAGAGTGCCTTTAATAAATCTTGCCTTGCGCCCACCTTGCCTGGTGTTGTGTTTACCTCGCCTGTGAAACTTTACACTTTGTACTGGTGCATAAAGGAGCATTTCCTAACTATGCTCCTCGTCTTCAGTTCTATGATATCTGGCTTAAGTAATGTGTCTTATTTTAGAATTTAATATATGTGTTTATTATTTAGTGTTTGTCACATAGTAAACATATGAATCAAATTACAATAATCCTAGTAATATTATTAATAAGAAGAATTAACACTTGGTGAGGGCTTGCCGTACACCGGGTATTTTTCAAACAACTTTACATTTAGTAACTCATTTAATCCTTACAACCTTTGTCTCCATTTTACCATGAGAAAACCAAGGCTCAGAGCGGTGGAGGATTATTGAATCCACCTTTCCAGACCTCAGATCCCGGATGTGGGCCTGGTTACTTTGACAGTCAAAGGAGACAGTGCATATGAAAGTGCCTATTATGTACAAAAAGATTATTTTTTTGATTCTTTTTTTATTCAAGTATAATTAATGTAGTTTTATATTAGTTTCAGGTGTATGATATAATGATTCAACAATTCTATGCATTTCTCAGTGCTCAAGATAAGTATACTCTTAATCTCTTTTATCTGACTCACCCATCTTTCCACTTCCCTCCCTTTTGGCTGCCACCAGTTAATCTCTGTATTTAAGAGTCTGGTTTTTTGTTTGCATTCTTTTCTTCTTTGTTCATTTGTTTCGTTTCTTAAATTCCATGCATGAGTGAAATTTAACTGACTGACTTACTTCACTTATTTCACTTAGGACCCTCTAGGCCCATCCATGGTGTTGCAAATGGCAAGATATCAGTCTTTTTTATGACTGAGCAAAATTCCATTGTATATCTCCTACATCTTCTTCTTTTTCTTCTTCTTCTTCTTTTTTTTAAAGATTTTATTTATTTATTTGACAGGCAGAGATCGCAAGTAGGCAGAGAGGCAGGCAGAGAGAGAGAGGGAAGCAGGCTTTCCGCTGAGCAAAGACCCTGATGCAGGGCTCGATCCCAGAACCCTGGGATCATGACCTGAGCTGAAGGCAGAGGCTTAACCCACTGAGCCACCCAGGTGCCCCCTCCTACATCTTCTTTATCCATTCCTTTTCAGTGGACACGGGTTGCTTCCGCATCTTGGCTGTTGTAAATAATGCTGCAATAAATGTAGGGATGCACGTATCTTTTCCAAGTAGTATTTTCATTTTCTTCGGGTAAATACCCAGTAGTGAAATTACTGGATTCTATGGTAATTCTATTTTTTTTTAAGTCAAAACGATTATTTTTAAAGATAGCTGCTATTTGTAGAGCTCTTACCCTATGCCAGACATGGAGAAGTGTTTGCCATGCCTTTTCTTATTTAATTATGATGATTCTATTAACAGATGCAGAAAGGGAGGCTCAGCGGGTAAGTGACCTGGCCAAGGAAACTAAGCCAGGGTTATAAAATAGGTTGCTCTAACCCTTAGCCAGTAAACTACACTGTCTGACCTTAGCGATGCAAGTTCTCACCACCACCATCATCATCATCATCACAAAGAGCAATGGGGCATTAGCCAGTAAGGAACTGTGAATTAAAACCACAATGAGAACCACTCAGTAGGATGCCCATAATTCAAAAAACCAACAAGAGCTACTGTTTGGTAAGGATGTGGAGAAACTGGAACATACGTTGCTGGTAAGAATATGAAATGGTGCAGCCGTTCCAGAAATGGGTGGTTACTTAAAATGTTGAAAATAAATTTACTGAATGATCTTTCAGTTTCACTTCTAGGTGCAATGCCCAAGAAAACTGAAAACATGTTCATGCCAACATGCCTACACCCGTATTCATAGCAGCATTGTCCATTATCCATAATAGCCCCAAACTGGAAACAACCCAGATGTCCACCCCCTCCAAGAAAGGTCCATCTAGACAATGGAATATTACTTGGCCATACAGAGGAAGGAAGTAGAGATACATGTTTCAACATGAGTGCACCTTGCAAACATGATGCAGAGTCAAAGAAGCTAGACAGAAAGGACCACATAGTGCACAATTCCATTTCTATGACATGTCCAGAATAGGCCAATCCCAGAGACAGGGTGAATCAGTGGGTCACCAGAGCTACAGGGGAGCAGAAGGATTGGGAGTGATGGCTCAGGGCTATGGAGTTTATTTTTGAGGTGATGAAAATATTCTAGACTTGATTGTGGTGATGGTTGCACAAGTCTGAATATACTAAAACCCACTAAATTGTACACTTCATTTATTTTTGTAAAGATTTATTTATTTATCTGAGAAAGAGATCGAGTTCGCGAGCAGGGGTAGGGGCAAAGGGAGAAGGAGAGTGTAGAGCTGATAAGCCTAGAGCTGATGTGGAGCTCAGTCCCACAACCTTGAGATCATGACCGAGCCAAAATCAAGAGTTGGACACTCAACCGACTCAGCCACCCAGCCTCCCCTAATTTGTTCCCTTTAAATGAGTGAGTTGTGTAGTCTGTGAATTATATCTCAATAAGCTGTTAAGAAACAGACACGAAAAAGAGCAAGGGGGGCCTTCCTGACACTAGAAAGGATCTAAAGTTACATTGACAAGTCTAGTCCTCTTCCTCCCCTCAGCAGTGATGACTCAGACAGATGCCAGGATTATCACCAGGTAGGCCCTGAATCCTTGCCTCCTCCCTTGGAATCCAGGGTGTTGCCCTGTTTCCTACTTTCCCCAGGCATGCCCTGCCCAGCTCACCCTGGTAGGCCTGGGGCAAAACCCAAAGTGTGGCTTTGTCTCTCGTGTGGCTTCTTTCGGCCGCCGACTGGCACTGTTTCCTCCCGCCTGCAGCTGCTTCCCCACTACCCCAACCCCCTCCGGCCCCAGCTTGTTATGAGGGAAAAAGTCTCAGATTTAAAACCATGAGGAATTCACAATGTGCACCAGAAGCTGCACCTTGGGGACTTTGGGGCTGTCAACCGCTGCAGACACTTGGGGTCATCCCCACACCCCACTCACCTGATGTAAGAAAAGACCAGCAGGTGCAGGATCCACTTAATGCTGCCATAATTCACGCTCTGGATCCGGAGGACCTTGTTTGTCTCATACTGGAAAATGCATTTCCAGTTGCAGCAGGCTGACATGGTGAGAGGCTCACTCTCCACCAGGGTCTGGACGAGGGCTCAGCACCCCCAGACCAGCCACAGCAGGTCCACCAGCAACAGGAAAATGAGACGCCCTGATTCTTAGCCGCCGCCTTTAAGTTTGAGTTCCTCCAATGACGGCAGAGTGGGGGCGGGCCCTGGCAGCTGCCCCAGATGTGGCTGGGGATAAACAAGAGAAGCGAAGTCCTACAAGCCTGGCTGGCAGATGACCCTGCTCCAGCCGCCTCCCCCAGATGCCTGCACAAAGATGGTGTTCAAAGGAAGGGCATTTTTAGCATTCTCCCTTATCCCCTTTTCCCTTTCACTTTTTTGGACTCCTTTCAGTTGGGGGAGAGGGGCAGGCCTTCAAATGTCAGGAGACCCAGTGCTTCCATTGTGCCTTAGTAAAAGGCCTAGATCTTTCTATTGCCTCAAGGCCTACTCATAGACTGACTGATTCATTTCTACAACCCTTTAGTTCAACCCCAGATGTCTATGAATTCAGGGTGAATGAAGGTCTTCCTCTTCTCCCTCTCCACATTTCCTCCACAGTACTCTGGTCTGTTGGTGATGAGGGGAATCAGAATTGCTGGGGCTGGGGCAGGGGAGGACTTTATTTCTATGCTGGACATTTCTTGCGTGACCGTTGAGACCTGCTCTCTGCGCTGCCCCCATTTATGCCCATGACCTAGGCCAATCAGCCTAAGACCGTCAGAAACAAACTTGCCATTCAGCAAAATTAGGTTTACTGACTATTTCAGTGAGAAAGAGCTCGTGCCAGAGGAACTACCATCAAAGGGACAGAGTATCGTAGGGCTACTGGTGATGGTGGAGTCTTGATTAAATTTGAAAGCAGATTTTGATAAGCTCAAAACAAAGCAGGTTTCTATAAAAGAGTCAACCTCAGATCTGGATTGCAACGTGGACCCAGGGCTCTGCTTCCTTGTCAGTAATCAAGCTAAGACAGCTGTTGAACGTTGTGCCTAGAAACCCTTTATCTGAACCTCTGGTCCAAAGGTGCAAATTGAGGCCACTTTTGTGTGGCAAAAGTGGAATATTTCATTCTTACTGAGGCAATTTCCAATAGCAGATTTTCTGACAGTCTATGAATTTAGAGGATGACGTTTCTCAAGAAGAAAGCAACAGTGAGAGGCACCTGAGTGGTTCAGTTGGTTGGGCGTCTGTCTTTGGCTCAGGTCATGATCCTGGGGTTCTGGGATGGAGCCCTGCATTGGGCTCCCTGCTCAGCAGGAAGTCTGCTTCTCCTTCTGCCTGATACTCCCCCTGCTTGCGCGTGCTCTCTCTCTCTCACTCTCGTTCTATCTCAAATAAATAAATAAAATCTTAAAAGGAAAAAAAAAAGAAAGCAGCAATGACAAAAAAGATGAGGGAAAGTAGTGTTATCATTTTACAGATACAGTGAAATACTGTTTCCTATTATTTTTGTAGCTGTCTTTATCCATTTCTGCTCTTCCAGCCTGTTAAGTGGCCAAGGTATTTTTACTTTTGCAGTCCGAGTTAAATTTTACTTTCTCACTCAGGTGAACTGTATCAGGAGCTACCTTACCTCCGGGCTGTCAGTTCAGGATGCCAGAGAGCAGGAGGAAGGTGTGATTGAACGCAAATTTTCTTGGCCCTTCTCGCAAGTGCACGTGGTAGGGCTCCTGGCCTTTCTGCTGAACTCATACACTGATCCCTCATGCTCTTCCCTCTGCTTCCTCAGCCCTCTGTCTACTATTTCTCCCACGACCGCTTCCTGGATACTGTTCTTAATAAGCTTCCCAGTGAGTTCTCAGTTGCCATATTTAGTGATAGCTTTTATTCCTTATTCTCTTTGACCTTTTGGACCAACACCATGTATCACCTCTTGAGCAGTTTCTTCCCTTGATTTCCGTGACTCCCCTGGGTCCCTTCTTCTAGTTTCTCATCTTTTTTCAAAAAAAGATTTTATTTATTTATTTATTTAAGAGAAGGAGACAGAGCATGTGCTCGACAGAGCCCACAAGTGGGGGGAAGGGCAGAGGGAGAAGCAGGCTCCCCACTGAGCAGGGAGCCCAGCGGTCCCGAGGCTGGATCCCAGGACCCTGGAATCATGACCTGAGCCGCAGGCAGAGCTTACCTGAGCCACCCAGGCACCCCTAGTTTCTCATCTTTACCTCTGTGACTCTTTATCTTATCTTTCTATGACTCTTCTCCTTTTATATGTCAGTTCTAGCAAATTCTGTCTCAGCATTTTTCATATTTCTATCAGTCATGACAAGACAGGTTATGTTGCAATAACAAACAGCCCCCAAATCATGGCTTAAGAACCACAGATCACCCTGGGGGCGCTGATTATCCTAGTCACTTGGAAAACAAAACTAATGGAACAGCCACTATCTTGAACTCTTGAATGAGAAATCTGGCAGGTCTTACAGTGGCAGTTAAATACTCTGAACTTGGGGCACCTGGGTGGCTCAGTTGGTTAAACATTCAACTTTTGGTTTCAGCTCAGGTCATGATCTCAAGGTCCTGGGGTAGAGCCCTGGGTGGGGCTCTGTGCTCAACCAGGAGTCTGCTGGAGATTCTATCCCTCTCTCTCGTCCTCTGCTCCTCCCCCTATCCCTCATGTGCACACGCATGCACTTGTGGGCTCTCTCTCTTTAAAATAAATAAATAAATCCTTTTAAAAAAAGATTTTATTTATTTGTTAGACAGAGAGAGAACACAGCAAGGGAAGCTGTAGGCAGAGGGAGAAGCAGGCTCGCTGCTAAGCAGGGAGCCCGATGTTGGACCCGATCCCAGGACCTGAGCTGAAGGCAGACGCTTGACCTACTGAGCCACCCAGGTATCCCTAAATAAATATAACTTAATAGAAAATACTCTGTTAACCATTTATATGTCTTCTTTGCAGAATTGTCTGTTCATGCCTTCTGCCCATTTTTTGACTTGATTATTTGTTTTTTTGGGTGTTGAGTTTGAGAAGTTCTTTATAGATCTTAGTTACCAGCCCTTTATCTATAATGTCATTTGCGAATATCTTATCCCATTCCGTTGGTTGCCTTTCAGTTTTGTTGACTGTTTCCTTTGCTATGCAGAAACTTTTTATCTTGGTGAAGTCCCAACAGTTCATTTTTGCTTGTTTCCCTTGCCTTTGGAGATGTATCATGAAAGAAGTTGTTGTGGTTGATGTCAGAGAGGTTCCTTCCTGTGTTCTCCTCTAGGATTTTGATAGATTCCTATCTCACATTGAGGTCTTTCATTCAACTCAAAAGTTTATCTTTGTGTGGTGTAAGACTGGTGATCTGTATTAAGGAGGGCATGTGTTGTAATGAGTATTGGGTGTTATATGCAAATAATGATTCATGAAACACTGCATCAAAAGCTAATGATGTACTGTATGGTGACTAACATAGCATAAAAAAAAAATACTCTGACCTAGAAATGGTGCACTCCCTTTTGCCTCCAACTCATTGGTGAGAACTAGTCACTTGGCCCCAACTAACCACCAGGGAACCTGGAAATGCGGTCTCACCATATATCCCTCTCTGTGCCCAGAAACAGAAGAAGCAGACATATTTGGTAAATAGCACTAGTAACTTTTGCATTTTCTCCCTGGGAAATTTCATCCACACACACATTCTTTTAAGAATCACCAAATGCTGAAAGAAGAGGGGATGGAAAGAGGGGTACATGTGTATATCATGTGTTTAACTACACATGGAGTATAGCTGGAAATAGGCCTACCACATAATCTGGGGACCAAGTGCAAAATGAAAATGTGGGGTCTCTCTTTCAAAATTAAGAAATTCAAGATGGCAACAGCAAAGCATTAAATCAAGCTCAGGTCCCTTCTACATGTGGGTCCTTATGTAAGTGCATGAGTCCCATGTCCATGAAGCTGGCTGTTTCTGGAAGGATGTATAAGATGGCCTCTGGGGAGAGAACAGGGGGATTTGTCAGTGTTTTCCAAGCAATTTATTTATCACCTTTCTATGAAGTTTTTCTACCATACTCATGCATTACTTTTTTAAAATCACTGGTAGATTTTAAAAATCTGTATCTTCAGACCAAATCTGCCCTCTGAGCTCCATGCCTGTATAGTCTGTGAACCTCCAGACCTAAAAATCCCATAGATATTTAAAAATCACATCTTCAGAATGGCATACTTCCCCACAAAATAATAGTGCATGTAGGGACTGATTCGAGGGAGAGAGTAGAGACACGATGTGGACTACTTTTCCTTTAAGATCAGCTTGAGGGTGATTTTTAATAGGAGGTGTAGTTATCAAGGGAAGATTGGGGGAGTGGATAGTTAAGATGGAAATATTTGAGTCATTCAGAGATGTTCAAAGTGGAATGTCAGGAATAGTGGTTCCTGTTTCTTTGTTAGGTAGGAAGTCGAGTCATGAATAGAATTGGTCTTGGGGACTTAGGTGAATTTCTCTTCTAAGGAGTGTGTGTGTGTGTGTGTGTGTGTGTGTGTGTTTCTGGTTACAGGTCAGAAAATCAAGTGACTTCCTTTAGCAGAAACGGTAGTTTTTTGAGGAAACACTGTTGGCTTACAGAACTCAAGTACAGGAAACATGGTAAGAACTTATTTACAGGAAAACTAAAATTTCCTGCCCTGAGGTGGCTCTTTCGGTTTGTTTGAAGCTGTGTGGTCCCGCCTCTGTCTGTCTCTCTCCAGCCACTGTGCATTTCCCTAAACACAGGATTTCTTTGCTCCTCTGGGGGCATGTCACCAAACAAGGCCATCATGGCATCCACATTAGGTGGCCACAGTTCACGTCAGACCCCAGACCAACTGCTTAATTCCAGAGTCCCAGAGGAGTGAATCTGATTGGTTTAGTTATCTGTCTCTGGCCCAGTCACCTAAGGCTGTGTGCAGGGTCACAGAAGAAACCTGGGGTCAGGGGCCTACTGGGGTGAAGGGATAGAAGGAAGTGGAAGGGGGTCGGGGAGGACAGGGGAGGGGTGGAGGGGGGAGGTGTGAAGGGCGGACGTGAGGGAAGGAAGGAAGGAAAGAAAGTAAGGAAGGGGAGAAAGAAGTACGACTCTCAGAGAGTAGAGGCTCCTAGGCTGGGA